CCTTTTGCATATTTCTTAGTTGGCGGTTTTTAGTTGGAAATAAATTAGAATCTTAATTCGTAGTGCGTGTGTATGTATGAAGTGTAGCTCAGACACAAATGTATGATACGACACCAATCCGTTACACCAGACCACAGATCAGCTATTCGAGTTAATTTGGACTGATTACTAATACCAACTATCTCCAGAACAACAGTAGCACTCGATATATGTGTGACAGTGGAGTTTAGAATTTAGTTGAGATTGGAATTGTTGACTATTCTATAAATGTTATGAGACAGTGATTCATAGAAATAAAATTTTATTAGTGAGTGATATGAGATAGTTTGATTGATTATTTAGATTCAAAAACGCGTTGTTGTTTCCAAGATTAATTGTGTCAATCTTTCATGTTTGAAGAGAGAGAAATGAGAAAGATTCTGAAAAGATGTTTATTTTAATACGCGCGACATTATGACATAGGGACATCGATTTTTATCTTTCATTCTGCTTTGGAAGAAAAGGCAGAAAGAGAGTTTCGCTATAGTTATTTCGAAGTATGGGTCTCGAGCAGGTAGGATGGGGATGGAAAAAGTTTTTATATTGAATGATATGGAAGGAAAGTAAATTTGTTTTATTAATTTTCATGAAATTAATAAAGAAGTTTCTTATATGAGTACTCCATTTGATGTGTTATTGTCTACAATCGTTCTTCGTTAAAAACAAATAAGCTAATCTAAAAGAAACTTCGTAATTTATGTCTACTCATTGTCTGTTTTATAGTGACGATTATCAATTATAAAAGCTTAAATTAATAAAGACATGATGACAAAAATGTTAGATATTAATAGATTCTACTAAATTTTTAAAGTGTAAAACTGAGGGCTGGCAAAGATCCAGAAAAAGTCCACTTTCCATAAATTCCCGTGAAAAGTCCTTCGCCCTCAACCTAAAGCCCCGCCATAGGACCTTCCTGGTGGCGGCACCTGTCCACGGGACTTTGGGTAGGGAAAGTGACATCTTCTCGGAACTTTATCAGTGCTGGTAAAACTCGGATAAATAAGTATTTATTTAATGATGTAACATTATTGTCATAATCAACGAATTATTTTCTTTTCTTTTAATATTAAAGTATTAGTTCAGCAAGATACATTAATTAATGTATGACTCATACAAGCGAGATGAGAGCGCGTTGAGATAAATGAAAAATAAAAAATAAATTTTGTTTTGTTTTGGTCACCAGTTTAAAAAAGAAATCTTATTTATGATCGATTAGAAAATAGTTTGCTAAATCTAACTCAGAAAAAAATTTCCATATCGTTCATATAATTTTATTTGCACTTTGATTTTCGAAATTTGTTTTTCTTTTCTTTTCTTTTCTTCGCTCTCTTTTGTGTCTATTTTCTCTATCTTTAATTAAATCTATTATTCCAATCTCAACTGAATTCTCATGTCAACTGTAACATAGACATAGGAACAGGAACATTAGGATGATCAGGTTTTTTTGTTCTACTTTCTGATAATTGTATTATAGTCTATTGTTACACTTGAATATTGAACTTGATAAAACTATTTCGTTCTTTTACTATTATTCATAGGTCAGCATTAATAATTGGGTTTTATTTTTTTAATTTTGAAAGTTTTCATTTTTTCACAACAACAAAAATGAATATAAAATTAAAAAACAAAATAATTAAAAAATATTCAATTCCTGCTATTATTTGTTTTAAATTAGTAATTCTATTGATTACATTTTTTAATAGAGTTTTCATATTTATATTGATTGTGATGGACTCCTTTCACCGTTAACTTTATTCTATTACTTACACAAGTAAGATCTTTCATATCTGCATTGAAACTCCTTCGAATAATTTGAATATATATAGATATCAATTTAAACAGTTGTAGCATCAATAGTTTAATATCGGCTTCAATGAAACATTGCAGTAGAGTTTAGCCATCAAATCAATTACACAGATTGGAAAATTTTGTTCAAAGATAGTTCCAATCAAAAATTGAAAATTAATGAATGAATCATTAGCTATTATGGCTTTGAACCCTGATCTCGATTGAACTACTGGTTTCACACCATTTGTTATCTTTCCAAAAGGTGTTATGAATAAAAAGAAGGCCAAATTTTAATTCAAACACCATAGAAAATATTCTTCGTCTTGATTATTTGAAGCATCACATGGCCAAATGTAAACATAATATTTACATATATATATATGTAATTTTCTTTTTCTTTCCTTTATTCCACCAAAAACAAAATATTTTACAAGTTCTCTAGAAAAAGATGGTTAAAATCGTTGAAAGCATGAGTTAAAATGTTTTGCTAACTAAATCGTTATTTTATTTACCAATAAATGAAAAAAATATGTTTAGCTACTGTGAAATCAATACTCAATAAATATCAATGTTGTGTCAGATCTTCTTTTAGTGTTTCGCAATATTTTTACAAAAATTTTAAAATAAGAATACTAAAGAAGTGTTTTGAATAAATTTCAACATTAATGGTGGACTTATTTTTCAATAAATATAAGCAATAAATTAGAATTAGAAAGACACAAACATGAGATTTGATCATTCGTACAAAGTATATTTCTATATGATTTCAAATTTAGTTTTAACATTAACAAAACTAAGAATGGAAGAAGATAGATTTTCTTACATGTTATTTCATAAGTAGAAAAAGAGTATAAATCGACAAAAATATATGACAATTTTAACAGAATACATCGCTCTCATATAAACTTCATGATCGAATTCGATTCCTACATAAATTTTATTACAGATATCCTGTGAACTTTTCTTCGTCAGAACAGTTTGAATTCTGATATATATTTACTAATGAAATAATAGATATATCAAAATACACTATTCTATCATGGGTTATATTCCTTCGTTATATTTAAGAACCCATTGACGGTAAATGATGATAGTATCAATCATACTATTATGCCAAAAACTTTACATTCAAATTAGTACCGATGATATGCATGTTGTTAATACTCAATTGATCAGGATGCATACTCCTTAGTTTTGAGAATTAATGCACAAATTTTACATGGTACTTTTATGCTTTCATAGTCAACAACAGAGAGATTGGGTTTGCTGCTCTGAACTATTGGTGGAAAAAAATGAATAATATAAAAATACAGCCTGTTAAGATAAGTTCTTTGAACCTGATAGAGAAAATAATCAGGTGCTATTTCATTTTGTTTTACTGATACTTAAAAACTACATAAAGTCAAACAGTTTCCATAGAGTTCAGTTCTATTCTAACGATCAGAGCATCGATCACTTGAGAAACAGTCCGCGTTATTAATGCGGTGCGACGCACAGCATTCTTGTAGTCCGTCGCGAGTTTTTTTGCTTTTTACTTGACCGTACGCATCATTTCGTCGTTTTGTGGCACGATGATCTCGAGAACCAAAAATCATAGGAAATTTGTTGAAACGTGAGATCGAAGTATCAAGATCGAACTTTTTGCCCCTGTTTTCCAATCTTGAATCTGCAGTTCCGTTCGTTCATCAATGTGGTTCCAAAATGACGAAAATGAAAGAAATTTGTTGTGAGATAATTAAAATGATGTCATCAAGCAATAGTAGCCAATAGTCTATTTCTTCGCATCTGGTTTAAGATAGTGAATCATTGAAATAATTTAATGTTCAATTAAAAGCATTCTCTAGGATTATGGTGATAATCACAAAAAAATGTTTTCTCAGCAATGAATTCTATTATGATTACTTGAGAACTAAAACAAAAATGTAATGATTCTGTGAACACGGAATTTTAAGATTGCTTGTTCCTTTTCCGTTAAATTTTAGTTTTTCATGAAGATCCGATTCAAGCTTCGCATCACATTCGTATTCGAGTGAAACTCAAATACCATCTAGTTTATTTCTGCGTTGCGAACAGCAGTCTTTTTCTTGTGTTTATTGACAGTAGTTTTTTTGTTTGATTTGTTGCTACTCTCCAATTATTTTCTATTTTTTTGCTCTCTCTGTTTTTTAATATCGCATCATTTTAATGTGTAATGCTTCTTCAAGAAGCAAAGTAACTATGAGTTACCGATACATTTGATGCATACATCGCAGTGTCCTGATAAATCCCGAGGGGGTGTCCTTTACGAATACTTTTTTCGCTGGAATCCTGGCAAGCGCTGCGATGCATGATTAGATGTAAAACAGAAATCATTGCACATTATTACGTATCTCAATAAGTCTTAGGATATTTTTAGTGGCTTTTCACAATGACATGAATGAATCTATTCTCGCTTTTTACAGTGATCGTATGCAAATTGTGACAAAACAACATCCGATATTCGTTCATCGTGAATATCTTAATTATTGATTTTTATCTACACAGAAGAATTAAACACTATATTTTATAAGAGCATTCACAAATGTATTTGAGTCATTCAGATTTGAAAGACGACTGCAATTTTCAAAAATTCTGTAGAACAATTTTAGTCATCTTAATAGCTCCCTATTATTTTCCTTCAGGATTGCTAAGATACTCTTGTAAAGTAGCACGATGCTTTTTACCATTGGTTGCTATCAAAACATAAACAAAGGGCAATCTGACGGCTATAGGTATTAACAAGGTTTAGAGTAATCCCGTAGCTCCTATTTGAAACTTTGATTCTTTATTTTCGTCTAAATTGTAAAATACTTTTATAAGGATCAACAAAAGTAAAAAATAAACAAAAGAAATTGCTAGTGAAGGACATGAAATGACACTCAGTTATTTATTTAACTCAAAAAGTGTTTTTCGATTCCTTTGCATCCACCCTTTTGGCCACATTTAAAAAAATGATTTTTATGCATTCGTGATATGTTTCATTTCTCCGGGGCAATCATAAAAAATGAAACATTTATTTGAATAAATGAACACTTTTCATTTGAGAGAACTGCAATAATTAAGCAAGCAAAGAATACGAGTACACAGTGAAATCATGCGCATGAATTTATGAATGCAGTTATTTATAAGTTAATAAAAAACGATGATTGTTGAATTTAATAGTTTCTGCCAGGCTGAACTGTATTCGGACCCATTCCTTGCCGCATATCTACGAGAATAAAAAGACAATAAATTGTTTCAGTTAAATATTCAAACATACTGATGTTTTTAAGAAATCGAGCTTCTTGACAGAGAGCACATGGGCCACAACAAGCTGTTGTTGGACAGTCACCACAAGGATCTTCTCGTAAGCCGTATTTTTGTCGAAGGGCTTGGCGTTTCATGCAGTGTGGAACCCAACATAGGTAACACTGACCAAGAATAATGTATATAAAACACCACAAGCAGCAATTGCTGTTATCAATCTTTTGAGCATTCTCACCAAACAAGCACGGAGGACACAAACAGCCACAAATGCATGAGCCACAATCGTCACAGCACCCACATAAGCTTTCTAGCAAGTAGTATACGATATGAGCTACACAATTTTTAGAATAAGAATAATACTCACGATTCCATTCTTGATAACCAGCCATAGTACAATTTCAAATGATAAATCTGCAAAAAGTAGCTTTGTATTAACGACCAACTATATCAATGCATATGCATGAGTATTGTATTTTTATAGCGTCGCTACCGCACAAGTGTAGAATAAATACTGTGATTGTTGCTAGAGAAAGACACAGCAACGGAGGCGTTTGTCCAATATTTACCTTTATTTTGCTGTTCGGCACTCTGAATTTTCTTCTGCAACTCTTTTAACTGAATTATTCTTTGTGTAAACAGTGCGAAAAAATGAATAACAAATACTGAGTAGTCATGACTATATGAGAGTTGTTTTGTGTGTTAGTTACTGACATCACCATCAGCAGAAAAACTTTGTTTTATTCTTTCTTTATAATGATTGTTTTAAAAATAGCTCTATATCGATTTTTTTTTCTTTTGAATTGGTTACCCTTAAATTTTTCGTACGTAAGCGAAAGAACTGCTCTTTTCATCTTCACCAATTTACCAATTTTTTTTTGAATTCAACGATTTGAAAATAAAATAAAAACTGCTACGCATGATATACGTGTATATATTCTATATACACATCTAAAATTTTCATTGAAGAATTTGTCAAGATAAATTTGAGTAAAAACGCAATTCATCGTTCTCCTATATAATATACATAATGAAATATAGCAAAATCTAAATTGTTTATTACATGAATCTATAAGCCACGAATTACAAGCTTTGAAATATTACATGATCAACTATAGAACTGAGTTTGATACTACAGAAATGTGAATTTTTCTCAAACTATTTTTAAAGTATCAATCAGTAACACATTATGTAGACAGAGTCAGAGACCGAAACCGATGGCAAAAGTGCCATTCGATTCGATTCGGCTTTTTAGGACTGTGATTCGATTCGATTCGGGTTTTCTGGTCTTTTTAAAATTGTAATTCGATTCAATTCGATTCGACTCAAATTGGGTTTACAAAATATGGTATTCACTATTACATACTATTGTTGTTTTCAGACTGACATCTTAGAATGAGAATAGTCTGTCGATCTTCTATAGAAATATGTTGAATAAATATAATTTATGAAGATATACATAAGAATTATTCATTTTTTTCAAGAAAGAACACATAAAATATAAATTAATTAACACATCTAAGTAGACTAATTAAATAAGTTTATTTTCTATAGAACGAAGAAAAATAATATCATTTACTGTATATGGATCTATATTTACAGTTGACCGTAGCCATACTTAATAAATAAAGAGGTTGATATCAAGACCCCAATCGCACTGGAAATGTGAATAAAGTTAAAGTCTTATTCAGTAATCTAATTGTTACATTAAGAGTTAAAATCACCTGTAAAGTATTACTTAACTCTTAATGCACCAGTCACATGGCTTAATTCAACTATAATGTTAATTTACTTCTCAGTGTGATTGGGGCCTAAATTGACTAACGAAAAAAGAAAGAAAGATGGAACGCTCGTTGTAAGTGAGCATTTCTTATGCCAATCAAAATGCACTTGACCATGATAACGATATGAACAGAACAGGGATGACCATTAAATAAGCACGACTGACAGAAACAAAGAAAGAGAAACAGTGGACGTCCTTTTTCATGCGTCATCTCTTATACTAGTCAACTGCCCTCGACCATAACACCAGAACAAAGAAAATGATTTTCAATAGCCGAATGAAACTGAAAAAAAACGAATCGATTCGATTCGACCTCTTTTCTAGAAGTATCATTCGATTCGATTCGGCTTTTTTTCAATTATTTTTTTATTCATTCGATTCGATTCGGTAGTTTTGAAGTTCCATTCGGAATCGATTCGATTCGCCCCAGACGAATCGAATCGAATCGAATTATTCGGCAATTCGATTCGATTTCGGTCTCTGGACAGAGTACAATCGATACTAAGCTATACTTTGAAAACAAATTTCAAGTACAATAAATATTATCTTTTTTTCTCGTCCAAAATTATGGTTTAAAGATTAACTCTTGGTCAACAATGAATCTCATAATACCAATGCTTTGAGTTTTGAAACTAAAAATATCATCACATCAACACTTACTTTCGTTGATACCGTTAGGCTTTGAAAATTGAGAGTTTTAATTGCATTATTCATAGTCACTAAATGTCGTTTGTTTTCTCCTTAAAATGAATAATTTTCCGATCAAAAGTACAACTTTTAGTTTTCATTGTATTCAACATGGAACAGTAGGAGGATTAGTTGATGGAAAAGTCGTTCTTGTTTATGTAGAAATAATCCAGTTCACATAAAATTATACGTATCAAAGATAAATAGAAAAAAAAGGACTAGTGAACAATTGCGACGAGTGCTTTATCTGATGCTTTTTTCTTCATAGATTTAGTCTCATTTCAGTCACATTTTCGTTTGAATAATATACAAAAGGCTTCTCCGAATTTTATCAAAAAGACTTTCGCTAACTCGACACTCGTCAATATACCTTTTGATATTTCGTCCTTACGGCGAATTGCCAGTGACCAAAAGTTTTATTGGCCAAAGTCGAAACTCCTGAATACAGAACATATTTATTTGGGAGCAACTTCTTTATTTAAATATGCACTTATAACATTTTCAGGATAATTCGTTTAAAAATATTTTTTTGACTATTTCTCTTAGAGATTCATGATTATTAGTTTTATCCTCTTAGATTAGAATATAAAAGAAAATACCTTGACTATTAATATAAAACTATTTCTTATGTAGAAATGCACGTTGAATCTACAACGTTTTTTTACGAGCAAAACTAGGATATTTTAGCTAGAAATCAATCAAAGTTGTAATTTAATCTGAAATTAACTTTTGAGTTTATTTTTTAAGATTTACACTCAAGCAAATAAGTAGAGACCTGCGTGACAAACTTTGTCGTGTCCCGGAATCCCGTTTGTCCGTTGAGACAAAAAAGTTTTAAATATTGCGTAGTTCCGTCAAAGAAAACAAAAGACCTTTGCTACCTGAACAATATGAAAATAGAGGAAGAGTGAAAATTTGTCGAACAAAAATTGGTCGACAAATTTATGGATAAAAATTAATTTGTTTTTATCAAAAATAGAAACTGGTACTTTGAACTCTGCTCGAAGTAAGTGAAGATATTTGAAAAGAAGAGTACTCCTGTTTTCATAGCATATTAACATTTTATATAACCGACGAAGAGTATCTTAATCTAATCATTATTAGATAAGTCAAATCGAGTTTATTGTGATAGATGTTATTTAAAATGTATTAGTTTATTGAAGGTAATGTATGTCTATACTAACTTCCATATCTCTGACACACATGTGCTCTCTTTTATATCAACAATTTGTCTATCATTATGCGAAAATTCCTTTTTTTATCATTATTAAACTCATTACTATCAACTACTAGTTCTAATCCGAAAGGTTTTTTTAAAATAAAATTCGACTAATTTTCGCATGAACCAATTAATGTTGATCAATTTTTGTATCAATTAATTTTCATACGCTCTTTAAATGAAATTTATCTCTTAATTGTTAAAGTGTGTAAAGAAAGAAAACTCAACTGACTCAACACCTTGAGCAACATTAGAAAAAAATTAAATTGACGACAGGCAGTCCATAATTATATGAAGAAACGCCTGAAAAGATAATGATAATAAACAATTTTCAGTGCATCTTCCAATATTTCTTTTTTTTGCTTTCCATTTTAACATTAAGATGTTTGTTATAAATAAAAAATTTAAAGTGCATCACACGTTTTTATGTAATGATTTCAAAATTCGGGACACTGAATTTTTCGAATTGTCCCAATCCCGTTTGTCCTGTCCCGAAATGTTTTCGGGACAGCCCGGTTTGCCCCGCAGGACTCTACAAATAAGAGTTTAGCTTGTCTGACTAGCTTAGTTGCCAAAATTTTTGGTGTACCCAAGAAATTTTGAAGGAGCGGATGGATGCAATCAAATTATTGATGTCGTTGGTGATGATTCGTTTTAGCATTTTTTATTATCATCTGCTCAAAATTATGGCGTTATTCCTCTATAAATCCTCACTATCTGTATGATATGCATAGACGTCGTATTAGAAGATTCAAAAAAAATTCAATACTAGAAATAAAAATGTTACAAGGATGTCTATCTAAGTTTATATTCTTGTATCAAATCTTTAATTTTAGAATATAACATGCATAAATTTCAAAGAAGAAGGTGAATATCTCGACCGAACACTGTGGATTCGCCTGTCAAATAGAGATTTGAGATGAATGTTTCATTTTCGGTTGGTTATCATTTACCACAAATAGAAATCCACAGACACATCTATACATCATATCCACACTTGTGGTGAATAAAACAGATATGACCCATTCTGGTGACCAAATAGGGATTTTTGATTTAGGTACTTTTCAATTTAGGGATTTTGCTTTTTATATACTATATGCTGTTCAAGTCACAACCGAACAGGGTCCCTGTTAGGGGTTCACCAGTACCAGTATACTGGTTACTGGTAATACTAGTGATCAAAATCGACTCTCTGAGTTTCTGNTTTTATATACTATATGCTGTTCAAGTCACAACCGAACAGGATCCCTGTTAGGGGTTCACCAGTACCAGTATACTGGTTACTGGTAATACTGGTGACCAGAATTGACTCTCTGAGTTTCTGATAAGCGAAATTACTTTTCGAAATGATTCTAATAGATATCGAATATGTATGATTCTGGTAACCACAATCAGCTCTAAGAGTTTCTGATAAATAGAATTACGTTTCGAAAGGTGATTCTAGTAACCAGAATCATACATATTCGATATCTATTAGAATCATTTCGAAAAGTAATTTCGCTTATCAGAAACTCAGAGAGTCGATTTTGATCACTAGTATTACCAGTAACCAGTATACTGGTACTGGTGAACCCCTAACAGGGACCCTGTTCGGTTGTGACTTGAACAGCATATAGTATATAAAAAACAAAATCCCTAAATTGAAAAGTACCTAAATCAAAAATCCCTATTTGGTCACCAGAATGGGTCATATTTGTTTTTTTCACCACAAGTGTGGATATGATGTATAGATGTGTCTGTGGATTTCTATTTGTGGTAAATGATAGTCACTCCATTTTTGTTGTAGTTTCTTTTGATAACCTGTTAAACTCTCTTAGTTTTTCCTGTTGTTTTCGACAATTATGAGAACAAATCATTCATTGTTTTGGTCAATATTTAGTCATCGGTTTTTATTATGAATTAAATGAAATATGAGAGAGAAGAGTTTTAATGATGAATAATAAATGGAATGTTTATGTCAATATCATTGGTTATGAGTTAATCAAGCCTTAGTTTTTGCATTTAATAGTATGGGCCAGGTTGAACTGTATGTGGAACAGCACCTGCCGCAACACCTGGTTGCAAAGCTATAGCATTAAAAAGACAATAAATGATTTCATTTTAGTATCCTAATTTACATACCTCTGCGTTTCAGAAAGCGAGCTTCTTGACAGAGAGCACATGGGCCACAACAAGCTGTTGTTGGACAATCAGCACAAGGATCTTCTCGTAAGCCGTATTTTTGTCGAAGGGTTTGGCGTTTCATGTAGTGTGGAATCCAACATAGGTAACAATGACCAAGAAGAGTGTAAGCACAACACCACAAGCAACAATTGCTGTTATCAATCTTTTGGGCATTCTCACCGAACAAGCATGGTACACAACACCAGCCACAAATGCATGAACCAAAATCATCAAAACAACCAAACAGTGACTCTTTAAATTCGTAAAACGGATAAATTATTTTATTTTTCGAATAAAAATAATACTTACCATACCATTCACCTTGCACTGCCATGACACAATTTTATTTAATGAATGCTAAAGAAAGTGAGCTTTTTCTCGATAGCAAAGTCTACAATATGAGTTCAAATGTGTTTACGCTAGTACTCTCCTTTTTCTGAAAAAGACTAGTATCACCGAGGAAATTTTTAATGAGAGAAAGGAAAAGAAAAATAGCTTGAAGTCTATTTTATTTTATCATTCTGTTCTATTCTAGGCCTAGCAACCGATTTTTCTTGCATTTGTCTACTGAAAGAAATTATTTTGTTGCTTCAAAACACGGCAACAGCAATAACGCGGAATGAAAGCTAAAGCTTCCCGTCAATACTATGAGATCTAGTAATAATAATAGGAGAAAACAGAACAAACTTATTTATAGTTCTATTCGTTGCCGGCTTCTCAATATGATAAAACATAACAAAACCAGCCAGTTTGATCTCTTTTAAATATTTTTCTTCGTTGTGTTTGCTAAGTCAAACATATTGATGGACGTCATGTAGCTTTGAGAGCTCGATTTAATATTACATGCATACATTTACAGCAGAACAGATAAAATAATTATAAGTCATATGAGAATTTCTTGGTATTTGTTATCGCAGAATAAAACTCCCTTTTTTTTAAATTTTACATTTTTTTGTTTATGATCTCACTGATTGAAAAAATTTAATATTCAATGATAGTGCTTGAATTCAACAGAAAATGTATACTGCATAGAAAGAATATAGCTTTGTTCATCGTTTGGGATGGAATTTAATCACGCAGCAGAAAATTGTACATTATTAAGAAATTTTTATTTTTTATTCTTTTGGATTTAAATGTTTTTATTTGCTTTAAAGATAGGGATGTAACAATACCATTTGGAAACAGATAAAAGTTGCCAATTTTCACAATGAAAATCTACCAATACCAACCAAATTTTTTAGCAAATATTCACCAATACTGAGGATCCTTTCTGTTGGTATTAGTATTTTATATACTCCTATCAGATAGAGCTAACTTCGCTGGTTATAACTAACGCAAAGTATTGGTTGGTATTGGTAGACTTTCATTGTGAAAATTGGCAATCTTTATGCGTCTCCAAATGGTATTGTTACATCCCTATTTAAAGATGTTCCTTCTGTCGTTATGTGGTTCAAATACATAATTACTGACAATATATTTTATGAACTGTAATATAAGATATGTATCCTATGCCAATTTTGCTAGGTTAAAAATCGTCAAAATAAATTCAGGAAAATGATCAGAATAAAGTTGAGATTCTAAAGAGAGATCTGAAGCGACATACTAACTTTCGTAATATGTTCGATGTTCTATTTTTTATTGTTGCGAAATGCGTTATTGCTGAACTTGAAAAATACGCAGTTGGTAATATCCTAAATACGTCGAACTAAATTCTATCGTTTCATGAGTAGAATGTTACTTGTCTTTCTCTCTAACCTTTTCAGTCTATATCTGATCATTAGATTGAGTCAATGCTATTGACTTAATAGATCGAACATCATCAAGTTGTCTATTCGGACCATACAGAAATGAAGATAGTATTTTGAGAGGAAACAAAAATATATGCATTGAAAAACTTCAAAATAAAGAAATTTTAATGATTTACATTTTTCCGCTGCACAATTATATTAAATCGAAAAAGATGAAGGAAATTGTATTCTTTATATTCAAGCGATCATTCGATAGAGATTTCGGCACTTCGATTTAAGGCTGTTTATATGTTTTGAAATCTAATACTTACCACTCCGTGGACTCTTATTTTTCGATGGATCGAGGGCTCGGCAATGGGTTAGTGAAGCATAAAGTTTTCGAGTAGTCCAACAATTTCATTAGATCCTACCAACGTAAGATAGTATGCTTTAATATAGATATCTCATTTTTGACTCGAGAATCTCAAGGCATCGACAATCGATCGAATAATCAGTAAACAGAAGATTAAAATATGAATACTTACGATGAATAGTTGTCAAACATCGAAACTAATCGTGAGCTCTACTCTTTTCATGACATTTATTCTGTTACGTCTTACAAGGATAGAACTCGTAACTTCTATTAATATCTACTAAACGTTTTAGAAATATTGAAAAAATCCTAATCGAAAGTGAAGAAATTTTTATGTCTGACTAACGAATTGTCCTTTCTTTGAGTTTTGGATGCTATTTTAGGAACTTATTTGATAAGTATCGGATTCGTTAAATAGTTTTTTGTCGAGATATAATATAAAGTCAATATTTTTAGATTTTATCAAAGATTCATGGTACAGTATTTATTACGATTATGTTTTCGCCCATACAGTGTCAAAAAACAGTAGTCTCTTTTTCTTTTCTTCTTTTGAGCATTTACTGTCTAGATATTTTTCAGAAAATTATTTCATTAAGGAATATTTGTGTAAAAATATATATCGTTCTTATAAGGTAGTTGTATGAAGGAGATATTTGTGAAACTATTTTTTAATAAATTTCGACGGAGGAAAATTAACTTTGTCTCTTCAAGCTATGACCTATCTAGCGCTTGTCTCTAACTGAGCACTATGTAACATTCTTCAGATATATTTCTTTTTCTCGAGTTGGTGGATTCGACACTCCTCGAAAAGTCGAACATCTATTTTCGATAAGAACCGTTTTGAGTGCTCATCGTACCTATTATGTGTTTTTTTATTGCCTACGTGGATGTAGTATAACATCCTGAGCAGGATTTCAAGTGCCATCTTTCGATAAATACAGTGAATAATAAATAGCTCGATCGGTTAGATAAATACTCATCGGAACAGAACATAAATGTCGTCTGGATCAAAAACGAATTGTCTCTCCTTTCTGTTTATATAGGACGATCTTCGACATGAAACTGTGACACGCAGTGAACGTATATCCACTTCTTTTATCGTTACCATTCGAATACAGAAAAATATGCGTGTGAAACGAATCCCTTCTATGCGAAGTAAAAATTTACGTAATATTATGTAGCACTGTGATCTTCCATACGCCTTCTATCCATGTGCATCATTAACATAAAATCTTCTTTTAACACTTTATCATCAACTTCTAGATCATATTTTGTATGCTTGAAAATAATCATGTCTACCGACAACATTCAACTGCAGTTCAACCGATAATTCATGGTCGCAAAGGATCATTGAAAAATAAATATTTCAAAACTACTTTTCTCATTTTTCTTGTATGAGACTATTCTGCTAGTGATAGTTGAAACATTCATTCAGTGCAAATCGAAGATAAAATATTTATCTGTCATGAGCATAGACAAATGCATTTTTCTTTTGTGATGAAGATTAATGCATCAGTTCATTATTATTTAATGGAAGATGCTGTACGTTAGGTTAAAACGGCATGCTATGGTTATTATGCAACATAGCCACTTGTCGTCTAGTTTCCGTTCGCATTAGTAGAAGGCAAATATGTTATATTCGAATGTCATTTTTGTCCGAAAGTGATTTATGGCATAACACTCGCAATCCATGTTAATCTAGTACTCAGTGTGAGAAAATTCTATATTCAATTTAAATCATAGTCTTGACAATTATTACTCATTATTTTCAGGGAAAAATCTTGTGCATTGTTTGCTACGAAGATTTTATAGAATTTATCTGAGAAATTTCGTAAATTGAAATTCGATATCCACGTACAATCTATTAGTACGAGTTTACCACTTGCACAGACTTAAGCACTCCGCTTTTAATTTTTTCTAATAAGATCTCAACATAGCGATATGTTAACGAATAACTATTTAAGATGTAATGTGTTCACTAGACACTGTAATAAACGATATAACCCGAAGACAATTGAACCAATATGTTCCTAGAGTAGGACACCTTTGTTCTTCAAATAGTATGTAATTTCAAAGCACTGAGAGTTTGCGTCTTTTTTTATACTATATAGAAATTCTTGTTTTTATTTAGGATTTTGTGAAATAAAATAGTCATTTTTTTCTCCACACTAACAGTAACATCTATGGATGATGTGTCACGAAAATTTTACATTTGAAAAGCTTCATTTTTTAGATAGGACTTTCATGAATGTAACAGTATTTAGCAGCGAATATTTATAAAAAAAAGTACCCTTTTTTGATATTTCACGATAACTAAGACAATTGTACTGAATAGTACATGAGAAGGAGATTTTTAATTAACTACGAAAACTTAAGCTTTGATCACTATCAGTAACTGAAATTAAAACAGTGTTCAACGACTTTAAAGTTGGTTGAAGAAACTTTCACAGTATCATGAATTGTGAGAAAGATAATTTTGTCTCAATAGTCGCCAGCGATAATTCTTTGGGCCTTTCAATTATTAAAAATATTTGTAGCGAGTTAACGATGAGTAATTACAACTAAAGAGAAAATTTTTAACTACAACCATCTACTTACTATGAAATATGAGATTTTGCTAGTTTAAAATATTGGTGCTGAATTTTCTCGTCTTAATCACTTGTTAAATATGTCTTCATCATTTTTACTATCTGAAAATACTTTTTTGTATCGAAATTCTCAGAAATACATATTATTTCTTATGACTTTTTCATTTATCGAGTAAAAATCAGTTCGATAATTCATGCATCCTCATCTTTCAATATATTCATGAAGATTCGTAGTATTATAAGAGAAAATAAAAATATATAATCATTCTATTTTCTATACGTTAGTTTTAATTTATAACAGCCTGACCGAACATGAATATCGATTAACTAGAAAAGAGATATGAACAATTTTAATTAACAATCTCTATTTTCAATAAAGAGATCCAAAAGTAACAACAACTCTAGCAAGTAATTAATAATAATATTTCTTTTTAAATATCTAGCCAAGAAAATTCCAAGACTAGTTTGGTTTGAACTGTTCATCATTGTCTAATATTTCTTCTTTCGTTTCAAACGATTTCAAATAAATTGGCCTTGACATATCTTCTGTTTCGTATTCAGTTCTAAATCGAATACGATTGTGATTAGGTGGCAAAGAATATGTTGGTAAATTCACCTTGAAAAGCAATCAAATAAGTAAATCAATAACGAACATATTTTCTTTTCGTACCAGTCTCGGGTATGGATTTCTGTAATGGCAAGCTAATTCAATACGCGCTTCACCTTCACGAATATGTTCTTCGATTTCATTTGAATCTTTTACCTGAAAATAAATCAATTAATTTACAAAAAAAAACAATAAGTAAATTACAAACATTTTTATTTTTTCTAAAAAGTTCTCGAGCTTGATTACGAATATATATTTGTTCTTCAAGTGTTTTTGCTGGATGATTAATAGCTTGCCATGAATAAGATATTTTTATGATACGTTTGTAAAGTTGAAGAACGCGAAAATAAGTTAAACCCTTGCACATCAATCTTCAATAATATAAATTGAAAAATGAATATAAGCAAAATGAACTAAATTTGTTTGTTACAAGGGTATTACCAATGAATCATTGACTTTATAGGATCGGTCTGTCATAAGAACAAATATGTATACATCATGCAATAGACGTCGCTCAACTTCTGTCAAAACTTTCCTAGATTCAACTACACATTTGGTCAAGACAACAACAAACGATACAAAGAAATACAACAAATAATAAGTTTTTCAGACGCGATATTTAGCCAATTGACATGGAAGCAATATGAATATATCTTAAAACTCTATAGCTTTCTAGAGATATCTGTATTGAATGATACACAACAATAATTATAGTTAATGCCGACCGATATAATATACAACTTTTCTTTTTATGAAATCATTTTAAAACGATAATCTGCTAAAGATAATGTTAGTCTTATCACCAGTTTATATTTCGAAAGTATTTCAATTCATTGATTTTGGGTTTCAAGCTTTTCTTTTTGATCCTGTTGAAAATATAAATCAAACTTGTTGTTTTTTTAAACTTTTTTATTTCGTATATTATTTTTAAGTTTTTATCTTATAAAGAATATGTCTAGTTTTTTGAGCGTTATTGATTCTAGAACTTTTCAACACAAAATCGATTGATTGTAAGTACAGAGATATTTTTTACTTAAGTTATAGAATTTGATGTCTCTTGAAGATATTGAATTATCTTCAAAAAATTTCATTTATCTCTCCAAGGTTACTATGCTGTATTGAATTCATATGTGATGATGAAGTCATTTTTTAAGTTGTCTCCTACATCAAAGGAGCGTAGAAATGTAAATTTCAAAACAATGTGCTGATAATAGATAGAACATGATATTATTGTGCAACTCATTGCGAAATATCACTTGTCTTTTTTTTATTTCTTTTTTCTATATTCTATATTTATAGATTGTAAACTATGCAGTCTGTTTTAAAATTTCAATACATCAGACTGTAATGTTGATATGCAATTTAAATAAAAATAGAAAAATCTATTTTTCATTTTCAAATTAAAGAAGCTCTTATTTTTGCTTTGCAACAAAAATAAAAGTTCAAGACTAATTTGTTCAAGACGCAACATACACCCAAAAAGTTAAAACACGAGAGTAGCATCGTCCTTCATCGTTATCAATTTTTCAATACTGCTTCAGTAGTATGAATTCAAGTGATAATATTCATTTTTTCAGACTCGACTTGATTTCCGAATAAAAATAAATTAGATAAGTAAAAAAAACAACACATGGAGAGATTCTCATTCGAAATAAGAAACCTAGTTATAATTGTCGTTTGTATGCACAAGAAGAATGGAGAAAAGTATGTTATTTTTAACTTTGATAAGTCTCTTTGGCTTTATTTTAACAATTCAAACATCTGATCTACAAAAATATGTTGACTTGATCGATCTTAATAATGACGGGAAATTATTCAAAGACGAAATTTTTATATTTTTAAATAAATTCTATGAAGAAATACAAGATCCAATATCCATAACGTCATCGAGTTCGATGAAAATACAAGAAAATATTCTATATAATATTATTAAAAGATATAATCGAAATTCTTCTGCTGATTATTTAATACTTTCTGATTTCGAAAATCTATTTGTTGATTTATATAGTTTACAAAATCAGAAACCAACATTTCTATTCAATGGTTTAGAACCTGAACAAGTACATTTATCTTATACACATGATATTTATACTGAAATGTATATTTCATTTGTTACACGTGAAAAACCATCATCAAATCTTCGTCCGATAATAAAATATTGTGACAAACAGTGTATTGCTATTGGTGACACAACAACATATAATGTAGATGATTGGCATTATTGGATTCATTTCATCTACATTAAAGGTTTAGAGCCCGGTGCTGAATATAATTATAAACTTGGTTTTATTGATTCGGATAATATTACAATAAAACATTTATTTTCAAATGAAAAATGGACATTCAAAACGATGCCTCCGGTTGAAAGACAACAAAAAGAAATTGTTTATATCTATGGTGATATGGGTACAATAATGCCATTAGGTTTTGAAGTTATGAAATCGATTATTAAAGATTTTAATAGAGATAAAAATGAACAGCCAAATTACGTTGTTCATGTTGGTGACATTGCTTATGCTGGAACAGGACACGCAGAAGAAGTTCAAACAATATGGGATTTATTTATGAATCAAATAGCTCCTATATCGAGTCAAATTCCATATATGACAGCAACTGGTAATCATGAAAAGTATTATAATTATACAAGTTATAAAACAAGATTTTTCATGCCATCAAAAACAAATCCAACATCATTTGAAACTGATGGAAATTTTTTTTTCAGTTTAGAAACAAATTTTGTTCAATGGATCTTTTTATCAACTGAACACGATTACAGTAATGGAAGTTCACAAAGAACATTTCTTGAAAATATTCTTCAACAATATGAACGAAAATGGCAAAATAAAGAACGACCATGGCTTATTTTAGTTGGACATCGACCTATGTATTCATCGGATCAAGCAACTGATTCAGGTAGATTACAACAAGAATTGGAACCATTGATTATTAAATATGGCGTTGATCTTGCCGTTTGGGGACACATGCATTGTTATGAACGAACCACGCCTGTTAAATATAACAATTTTACTGATAGAGATCATTTTTCATCGGATGGAAAAATTTATCAGCATAATGCAACAAACTTCAATCAAACAAGCCCAATTCATTTAACTATTGGAACAGCTGGAGCTTGGATTCATGAAAATTGGATACCAACACCTGAATGGTCACAAACAAGATATCAGAAATATGGTTTTGGAAAGCTTTATATTCATAATACAACACATTTAGAATTCAAATCAATTTTAAGCAATAGAACTGCATCAGACGAAGAAGATTATTTTATGATTATTCGACAATTTTAATTGAATAAAATTGTTATTAGCAATTCTATAATTCGTTTCTACTCAAATATAGTGTTTTTAAGAGTACTATTATTGAAATTTCTATTCAGCATTAGTTGAGTAAGAAAATTAAATGAATCAATGATCATAATCTATCTGATTAAATTGAAAATTTATTTGAAGATAATTCATCTAATCCAAAAGATTTATAGAAATCTGATATTGTTTCGTATTGATACGAAAACAAAATAGTAAAATCAAATTTTGATTTTGAAAAACTTTCAATATACGAGAAAATTTCTCAAACAACTCCTTTCGAACATGAATTATGAATTTTTCTTTAAGTATTTTGTTCTATCTTTAATTTTACGTATAATGACCATTGGACTAATTTTAACTTCATGTTTACAAATTATCTGATGTCAGTAACTGAAAAATCTATACCAATTATTATAATCGTCGCAATAGTAAAATCGAGTATTCGGAAATATTCGTCTGCCTTACATTGTCTTTACGCTTGATACCGATGAGAACACAATATAATTGATATTTTCAATTAATTAATACAGTTGAGATCTGTTTAAATTTCTTAAAATTTGGAATTTTAGCCAAAAGCGAAATTAATTGAAAAGATATTGACATATCATTCTAATTTTCTTTATTTAAAATGTATTCGAAATTTAATAATCGAGAAAATTTCGACTTTAACTCAATACTATGGAAGATATAAAAAAAACAAAAAATGTTTTCTCATTTGTATCATGAGTTATCATTGAGCTACACCAACGTATCTAATACAAAACTAACCAGTAGAAATTACGAGTCTCATGAATTCTTTACAATTTTCAGTGTAGTAAATACAAAATAATTGTTGAGCGCTAAATAGCAAACAACTAATTCATGGAATGATTGTAAAATGCTAGTTTATTTTTGTCTTTTCATGTAGTTAAATAATTAAATCTTGTATGGATTCGCTGGCAGGAATTTCTTGTTATATGCAATCGAATACTTTTTACCTATTCGTTTTGATTCAAACATATAGCAATACAAAATTTTGCTTAGCTAACTATCTTTTATCTGATACAACAAAATGTATAGAATAGAGTTTTGCTTTTTCCATAGTTTGTGAAAATATTCGCTTCACATATTTCAATAAAATTAAAATAATATATTATTATATATAATTAAGAAAAGAATTTAAGTTAACTTCAATATTAAATGACATGAAATAATTTTACTTGATCGATACAAGTCTTGTATATTTTTTAAGTATCGAGAGCTCAAAAATAGTTCAAATAAAAAACAGATATTGTCTTCGTATGAAACAACAGTTGGGAGAACAGTAGTATTGATCACTCGAAACTCTACTAGTTTTAATCATTCGAATTCATCATAGAAACATGTTTAGATGGTCCATCAAAGCTTCGTATAGGCTCGACTTCTATCAAATTTCGATCAATTAAAGAATCGGTAATAGCCGAACAATTTTTAGTTTCATAAAAACCGTTGAAATGCCAGCCAACTATCCTCTTGAGGTCACATGTGTATATATAAATCAATATCGAAGTTTGACGAATAACAAACGTTTGTTGTAGCATGATGATTCTCTAGAACATAGAAATGTTCTTCTATTGCTTATAAATCTGAATATGACGTTCATCATAAGCATTTTTAAATTCAAAAAAACCTCATATATATATATATATATATATGCTATTCCTGAATTGTGAATCATCATAATAATTCAATAATCGACGTTGAAAAATAAAGTGTCAGGTGAACTGTCATTCAACCTTTTTAAATAAATATTCTGAAATATTTTTGAAGTTCTATGAGCGAATCTATTATTCCAAACTCTATCAAAAAGTTGAAATAAACTATTTCCTATTGATCGATTACAGCTAAATATTAATACAAGTAATATCAGTGATGCTCTTCTAGCTACACCGTATCGACTTAATATTTGATTTGGTTCATTTCGTTGGATTACATGTAGTAATTGGTTCTATTGGCAATATGATTGGGTTTTGTTCTCAATCATTGCGTAATCGAGTTTACTCACTTTATTTATTATCACAAGCATTGAATAATTTTCTTTATTTTCATTTTTTATTAATTAGAAGAATATTTGAGAGAGGTTTTCAAATTCCGATTAGTGTTTGTTACGATATTATGTGTAAATTTCGAAAGTTTTTTTTTCGTTTGGGGTAATCAAGTTTCTTCTAGTTTATTTTTATTGGCAACAATTGATCGACTTTTATTGACAAAACGTTCGAATAGTAACTTCAATTTGCAATTAACTATCATTAGAGTTTATTGAGTAGAATGATTCAGTTAGTTTCTTAATCAAATTCTTTAAATATTCTATGTGAAAATATTTTCAAAAAACAGCTTATTTTATTTAGTATAAAAAAAAAGGAATATGTGCTCCTCTCATAGGCTTCTATGTTGATTACGATAATTAATGTGAAGTTATATTTACTGGCATATGTCCACCTATAGTGATGTCTATTCTTGCTTATCTATTGATAAGAAGTGTTCGAAATCTTATTCAACGAGATATCGTTCCAAAAAAACACATATACAGCGCATCAAATTTGTACATCGAACAATTCTTCAACAAATGGATTCACAATTGACATTGATGCTCATACTAGAGTCTATTATAACTACTATACCATATATTTCATATGCCGCAATATTAATCTATACAAATATTAGTTAAGCATGACCAAAATCATCGTTAAAATTGGCTCAAGAAAAAATCTTTGTTGAATTTATACATTTGACTTCCTATATATTTTTTTCTTCTCGTTTTTGTGTCAACAATCTCAATTAGTGGCTTTCGCGGACATCGTCTACTTTTCTTCAATCGGATTTTGATTGGAACTCAACGAAGACAAATATTTTCTTCTCTTTAGACATTATAGTATAAAAGTAATATTCTCATTTTCGATGTCAATATTTATAATATATAATTTGTTACTATTAACTGAAGTTATGCATCATTGATACAGATAAATACGAACAAATTTCTATTTTTTTTCAAATCAATGTATCGATTTATTTTATTTAAAAATGTTTTTTCTTTTACCAAGCGCACCTATTTTTTTGCTAAAATAGTTTATCTTAAAAAAAAAATAAAGAAAAGTCCATCATCATGATCAATAGAATAAGTGTTTAAATTAACTAGGAATACTTTTATTTAACATTGAAGAAATTTTCTTGAGCATCTTTTTTCCAGGCTGCTAAAAATTTTTCTTTGATTTCTCCTTTTGGAATTCTAAAAGATATTTCTGCACCTCCATGATCTTTAGTCCAAATTCCATTTTCTCCTTTGACAGGATTTAATTGAAAGATACGAAAATAATATTTGAAAACTCCCATTGTATGAAATCGACATTGATTTTTCATACCAAAATCAGCTTGATCGGCCCAATCATATTTATAATTTGAATTAAATATAACTTCATTCTCATCCCATACAAAATTGACGTGTCCATCTTTTATGATTTGGGTCATAAGAACATTAGTTGAAGTCACTAATTTTTGGAGAAAATCTTCTTGACGTATTCTTTTAATCAATTGCCGAATTGTTTTTGCAATACTAGACAAAGAAAGTGGATTTGAAAAATCTGAAGATAATGGTTGTATTATTGCATTAGCTACATAACCTTTTGGTGTTAATAAATCATTTACACCTCGATAATTAACATACATATAAGCACGTCTAATATATTTATCTTCAGTAATAAATAAATGTTTGTTCATCAAAACTACAATATAAGCACAAAGTGCATCATGCATTGTAATATCATTATCATCGTCAGCTAGAAAGCGTAATTTATCGAGTTGTTCAGAAGAAAATGATATGTTAACCGGTTCAGTTTCTGTATATTCTTTACCAAGACGTTCTAAGATAACTTCTCGTTTATTTGTATTTTGATATAATTTTAAAACAGACGACGAAGAGAATGTAGAATCTTCTTTAGCTAATGAATGTCGTTCAAAAACTGGACGAGGTAAAAGAGGTTTATGGTTTTGATACATTTGTGAAAGATCATTGTGAAAATGAATGGTTGAATTAGCATCGCCAACCATATGAAAAAAGCTTGTACCAAGAACATATTCATTACTACGAAGTAAACGAGTTACTTTGATACGAAGAAGTGGTTCAATTTCAGGTTTATACTGCACTGAATCAATAAATGGTTGAATTAGTGTCGCATCATCGACAACAACAGGTAAATCGGGCCATTGTTCAAGTTCATCGTTTTCAGCATAAGTGAATGGAATAGATTTATCAGAAAATTCAATAAAATATCCATCATCATTATCGACAAGAATGCGGCCAGTTAAAATTGGCCAAAATGAGAGAGTACGACTGAGAGCATTTCGTAATCGATCAACGTCAAGTGATGGATAAACAAAAACATTGTCGATACCTCCAAATATCAAATCTATTCCAAGTAATTTTATTCGATGGCCGTTGCCTGTTGGCGATGATGCGTCAATATTCGAGATCATGTTAAATTTCTTTTTCTTTTGAGGATTTATCTTCTATATATATATATATCTATGAATAGTTGCTGTAGAATGATAAAACTTTCCAAATTACTAATATAATTGCGAAACAATTTATTGTCTTTTTCTTTTCTCTAACAAGGCGTCTAGGTTAAATATAAACCAAAGATAAATAATCAACTCAAGTCTACATGACATATTGTATTATATGATATCAAGAAAAAGAACAAAAAAAGTATTCTAGTTTTGTATTGGTGCCTCTATTCAAACTGAATAATTGAAGATGACGCAAGATGTTAATATATTCTTCATTCAATAACATAAGAAACTTGCAAGAGAAAATTTAGTTCATTCTGTTAAACATTTTTATTTTTCACAGGAACCATAAGAATAACCTCAAATAAAGTCCTAAAATATTGATTATAGTATTAGTAAGGAATCCTCTTAAAGAAAATTGGTAACTCTACAAAGATAGGAATTATTTGATGTATGGATATGTATGTACTAATGGTAGGAAATTTCAGAAAAACTTCAGTTCAGCAAATAACACATTTATAACATTCAAAATTCATAAATTCATATCAACCAATCGAACTAGCAGATAATCAATTTCAATATTTAATCCGTTGCTATAGTTTCATTTCGTGGAAAATTCAAATTATAAACTTTTTTGGTCTTTTTTCACCTTCTAAAACTCATTGATTTTGAGTCCTTCTAAACTCATTTTCTTAGACTATGAAATTTAATGACGGTATGAGATAGAGATACCAAAACTGAGCTGAGCTATTAAAAAAACCTGAGAGAACGATGAATTTTGAAATACCAGCAAATACCATTGTTGATAATGTCGTCTAGGAATTGTTACGTTCGGGGTCATCGAAGAAAAAATTTTAATTTTAAATTATAAGCATATCGCACTGATCAACATTAGCCGGGATAGCTCAGTTGGGAGAGCGTCAGACTGAAGATCTGAAGGTCCCTGGTTCGATCCCGGGTCACGGCAATATGTATATATATATTTTTTTTTAAAGTTAGAATAGAATAAAATCATATTACAATTAATTTTACTTGGTTTTTGTTGCCAACCATGATTAATTCTATGAAATACTTCTAATTATTTATCAAAAGTTATGAATCTGAAATAGACTACAGGTAAACTAAAGCATCTCGTGATCATTAAGTCTAAATACTATATCAAGTTCAATTTGAAGAAATTTATGGCAATAGGTTCATGATCAGTTTTACTTACGTAGATATGATACACAATTGATTTCAAGCATGATTTTCTGCATAATGATAAAAATGACAATTAGTCATTGAACATAATCATTTACTTTCTACTTGTTTTCTGTATTGAGCATAAATAACATCGGGTACTACAATGATTGACCTCACGGTTTTATTTATAATAAAATAAAATTACATTCGATATAGTGTGAAAACAATTGAGACTATAGTTTCAAATGATTCATTCATAAAATTTATGACTTCGCATTATAATACAATTTACATAGTGCCAATTATCAATTTAAGAAATGTCAACTATATTGCGAAGTATTCATATTCGAAGTATATTCGTTTTTTTTTATCAATATCGTTTAATAATTAGTTGATATAGATGATTTATTTGAAATATTTGTTTGATTAGCAATTTTTCGATCAATATTATCAAAGTGTATCTTAAGTAAGATAAAAGAATTTGAAATATATCGACTTAGTGGATAATCATTTTACTCTTGCTATAATAAATTAATATCAATTTGAACAAGCAATTTTGTTGTTTCTCAAAAGTCATGAGAAATGACTAGTAATAGAATCAATACGTTGAAATGAATAATTAACTGAAACAGGAACTAATGGTATTAATAATGATGAAGAATCACAATTGTTGCCTATATGAAATAGTTGACTGTAAGAATCGACTAAATTTAATAGATACTTATGAGCATCTTGTAAAATAGTATTTAATCGCAAATACTTCTTAATTAAAGTACAAACAATTTTGCCGCGTTTATCTGAATATTTCAATGTAATATTTTTTGTTCGTTTCATTAAATTAATTAAGAAGACTTCAAGTTTTTCAAGCGCTAATTGATATGTATCTTTTAATGTTTACTCAACATCTTGATAAAAATTCCTAAAAAGTTTCTAGATGTGTATGGCCGTTGTTTTTCAATAAATATAACTAGTATAATATGATGCTGATATATTGTTGTAAATATGCTCATAATTTGCTGATTCTTTCATTCTTGATGGTTCAATTCATGATCAAATGATGTGAATGCCGTAAACTAATTTATACCATAGATTAACTAATGTCTATATAAATAAACAATAGCGATTTCATAAGAATAATGCTGAGATAGAATGTTTCTTTTCAATGACTAAAATAAAATCATTCATAGATATCAGAGCTATTATACTAATAACAATACGCTGATGTTCATAGTAAGGTGTACCAAGGTCAAAAATCGAGCAGAAAAAAGATTCCTTTCATTATATTATATGGTTGGGTAGAGCCGGACGAGTAGATCATGAAAATCACCTTTTAAATGTTTCTAGGCTTACGTTTTGACTGAGAAATTTGCAAAATATAAAATACACCCAAAAAAGTGAATATTTCACTTTTTTCGGGAAAACTCAAAATTTACCGAGTTTAACAATCTTCTAAGTTTCTAAAACTATCATTATCAGATTCAGCATGAAAATCTGAATCTACGTTAAAGAATTGTACTCTTACTTCGCAATTTCGAGTACCAAAACTTAACTTCCATGCGAAACAAAACATCAGATTCAGAATCAGCACGAAAAGCAACATTGACTATCATAAATTTTATCAAAAAAAAATTTTCATCAAAATTCCAGCCTACTCCCACTTAGTCATTTTTTTCTTGATTTTATTCTGTAGTCCCCGACAGGTAAAATTTTGATGGAAAATATTTTTTGATAAAATTTATGATAGTTAATGTTGCTTTTCGTGCTGATTCTGAATCTGATGTTTTGTTTCGCATGGAAGTTAAGTTTTGATAGTCGAAATCTCGAAATAAGAGTACAATTCTTTAACCTATAGCCACCGATCTAGTAAAAATCGGTTTTCTCAGAGACGGAAGAATATTTTTCAAACTGAATGCAAAGTTTTGTTCGCTATCGCTTGGCAGTTCGAATGNGTCAAAACGTAAGCCTAGAAACATTTAAAAGGTGATTTTCATGATCTACTCGTCCGGCTCTACCCAACCATATAATATAATGAAAGGAATCTTTTTTCTGCTCGATTTTTGACCTTGGTATACCTTACCATAATATGAATGATATACGCAGATGGAGAATAAAATTTTCAAATACAATATAAGTATTTTAAAATATCGAATAAATAAAAAGACCGAATACGACCGTTTGATGTTGTTTTTAATATTTGACATTTAATTGTTCTAACTACTACTGAGTAAAAAAGTCTTATATCAAATTCAATAAACATCAAAGCCCGACAAGAATGACAAAACTTCGATTCAGTATATACTGTGTTCAAAATAAACATGTGATATATTTTGGCATACTGTCCATTTTTCGATAGCCTTCACTTCTCTATCAATGAATTAGTGTTATTTATCATATATTATATTTCTGTGAATCCATTCGCAAATAATTTTCATATTTGTAGATATAATTCAATAATTATCACAAGGTTAGCGACGAACGAATGATTTCATTTCAGGAAGATTCTTATTTAAGGATGTTTTTAAATTCGAGATACTCTATAAATAACATTATAATTAAATACCATTTCAATACTCGTAAGATGCCACAAATATATTGTATTTATCTATAAAACTTTTAAAATATGGTATTAACATCGTTTAAATACCTTTTTTTTCTAGTAATTATGCAAAAGTAGTCTTACCTATATGCTATAATTTCGTACTAATGTATTGGAACTGCTGAGCAGTGCAAAATTTGAGTGATAAGGAATAATATTTAATTCTTTTTGCTCGAGCCGGTTTAGTAAGAACATCATTTTCTTCTAATGTTAATCTTTTGACACTTTCATTGTGATCCAATCTTGCAGCTTATTTGTATAAATATTGAAAAGTAAAGCGAGTTACTGAGTGGTACCGATTCTTTTACAAAATCGTTCACTAGTTCCAATCCTCATTAAAAAAAACTATTTGATATAACGAGGCTCCTATACGTATAGTTTTTCATCTAGTAAATAAATCACGGTTTAGAAGCGCACACTACTGAATGAAATTTGTGATGAAATAATAATCAGTAACAGTTTGAATATGACTTTTTATTTCACAGATATATATTATTACCAACCCACTCCCATACTTTATATTCACTGCATATATGCAGATACCACACATCCGTACCATCATATTATGTATGGTGGATCTCATATTTATAAAAACCCCTATTGAATCACCAATATTCTCTTAATTATTGTATGATATCAACTTTCAATTCATAAGTTTACATTCGATCTAACAAGGAAACACAAAGAGTGTACAAAAATGTCTACCTATAAGTCTTGCATTGTTTACAATGAAGATGCACAATTGGCTATTGTGACAAACACATGGCATATGAATTTGATGATTTTTTTAGTTTTATTCAAAAATAGACTCTAACTTATTTTTGTTCCTTTTAGAAAATTTGTTATTCTTACTCTCAAGTACTTTTGGTAGTAGCTTTGACCATCAAGATATTTTGTGTGAACCTGAAAGTATTGGCGTTGACACAATGGAAGATTACAACACATACAAAACATATAGTTATACGAGATGTCAATGAATATGCATATTAAAGATAAGCTTTAGCCTATGCGACGATGAAGTCATTAGCTTGAGTGAATGCTTTCATAATGACTGGATTGTTAGGATCTGGTCTGGCAGCAAATTCATGAACTGTTCCTTCGGTCAACAGAAATTTACTCGGTATATCTGACTTGTGAGCTAGAATTTTTTCCGCTTCTGACCGAAGAGCATCCGTAAACTGATTGTCTTCTTGTGCACACACAAACGCCGCAGTTACTTGTAGTTGTTGAAAATGGGTCTTATTGACCAGTGAAACATGACAACCAACTATGACATCTGCAAGATGAAGTTCATCGTTGCCTACCAACAGCGCATAAAGACCACCAAAACAATAACCTACCGCTTGAATTCTCGTCACTCCTTTTTCTGAGCGAAGAGCCTTTTGAAATTATTTCTGACAGAGAAGAAATAAATGACATATTTGCTTACTTTGAAAATTTTTTCGGCGATTGGAAGAGTAACAGCTTGACGATGACGAAAAAGCCATGGAGCAAATGATGTTACAAATTTTCCAGCCAAACGAATCTATATTGAGAAAAGTATATTGCTCGGTGACTACCTTAGCGCTTATAGTTTACTTTAGCGCCGATGCACATTTTTTCTCCAGGATTTTGAGGCACATTTTCAAGAAATGAAGAAGCTATTGGATCTCCATTGAATAAATCTGGTATATAGACATCGTAACCGCTTTTTTCAGCTAGTTCATCGGCAGTGATACGCGGATTCTTCGTCAAACCTATCTGAATGCTTGACAAGTTACAATCGCATATACATGTATATAAATAATAGCAACATACCAAATACATCAGTTAATAGAACTATTGCCTTGTTTTCGACGAAGAGTCTGTTCCCAAGGTCAGATAAGTATTGATTTCGGTAATCTTGATAATTTGTCCTTGTGGAATTCCAGGTAATGGATGATATTCGGTGAGACAGCAGGCATCAAGCTTTTCGTCGTCTACATCAGACATCATTGAATATTTCTTTTTTTCTACAACCAAAAAAACAACAGTAAATTACTTTGCTTGTATCACCGCCGATTGCCTGCGGAGAATGAGTGAAGCATGTCGCGATGCTGTCACGTTACATATAAGAAAATGTTTTTTTTTTCATTCGCCGTCTTATCATACAAGACTATGTAGAAAGGAAAAGTAACAAAAACAACAAGCGCACCATGCTTACACATACTTCAATGTATGTATGAGTACATTTCTTGCTTTCAACTAAAAATGTGCTTATATGCAGAAAAAATGGTGTTATCGCGCAAAATTTTTTCTACTAGCGAAGATTTTTGTTTTTCATTTTAAGAGTAGATTTGTTCCTTATTACTATTGATTAAATATGTATCTGTATGCTTCTTAAATGAATTAGCATACCTCAAATCGTGAAAGAAGATAGTATCATATTTAACTTAAGCTTCATAGTTTGAACACTACAACAAACAGCTGTCGATATATGCAAATATATTATCATTGATATTTTCAAATATGGTTCATCAAAATCATCAAATACTTTAATTCTATCACTACTACTACATATACTCATATTTACATAGCGCTTGAATAAGTTCCTCTATAGAGAATATGTTTGATAATACATAATTTATCAGATTGGAAAAAAATATAAGTGTATGTCAATTAGATAATTTCTATTTCATTTTTATTTGCAGAATGTTTTAATCATTAACGTGTATTTTTGATAAGAATCGATCAAATTTTTTGAATCATCTGATTAGAAGGAAAAGTTTATACGATTTATGATAATGCTCAGATAAATCTTAATAGACATCATTAGTTTATCTGAATTTTACTAATAGACAATCGAGCTAATAGATTTTTAATAGGAAGCAACTAAAAGTCATTCGTCAGCAAGATATCCGTCGGTGTAGGAACGTGATTCTGGCGACGGATATAACGTCAAGATAAACTATAATACGACAATAAAAATGACATAGATAACTGACAAGATTAATAACTGCAGTCGTTTTGATTGAAGGTGGACTAAAATCAACAGATGAAACTACTTCTTTTGATAGAGGAACATGTTCTATCATTAGAACTAGGCGTTCTGTGGTATCTTCAAAGCTAGATTAGAAAAACGCATTCTTTTTTTAGGAAATGTAGCTTTGCTAGTTCATTTCTATATCCTCTCTTCAAAATATCAACTTTTTCGTTTAGATCCTGCATCTGAAGAATGAATGGTTTATCAGATGAATGAAAAACAAAACAAGATAAGTACAATGTAGAGGTGTAAAGATCAGAAAATACCAAAACAGTCGCACTCAGACAGTAACACATCGTTTGACATAAGAGTATTTGTTTCAGTAGTTAGATTAATACGTAAGTTAGAATATGCAAAACTGTCTAACTCACACAAAAAGAGTTGTCAACTAAATAATAATATCATTAGTTCTCGTACAAATCTACATAAAACTTGTTAAAGGAAATATGTTATCTGATATTGAAAATTGTCACGTGGAGTAACGTTATCGGTAAGACTAATGTGTTGATACAATACGACTCATCTATCTTATCTGTGTGAATAAAATATTCTGTACACCTTCTTCTCACCTTTTCAGCTCGTATTTGGAGAAGAAGCAAAACGATTAATTGTACGTTTTACATCAGATCATGACTACTGATATAAATGAAAATATACGCTGTGAACTACTAGCTGCATATGGAACTTTACGTGATGATGATGATTCTGACCTTCCATGGACTCGAGATTTCATTAAGGTATGCCTTTGTATCTTTTTTGAAAACAGTAATTTCAGTTTATTTGACTTTCAAGAATATTGAATCCGCTGTGACCGGCAAAGTTTTAGGTTTTCAATTGTTCTTCAACCCCAGCTTTAAGTATGGGCTTGGAATTTTCACAGGTAGTTCTACATATATACTATAGAATACATTCGTGATATTGTTTTCCCGTCTTAATTAAAGGTGATTCGAATGATGCAATGGTTGTTCGTCTCTTAAGTTGGCCATCGAAAGAACAATTTCACCAAAAAATTCGTTTAGCAGATGATTTAGAGGGCAATGATTACGAACGAAAATTAGTGGAGGTGTTAATCGAAGGTGGTTCAAAGTCTGCTTACATTTACGCAGCAAAACCAGCATTATTGAACGAAAGCTGGGAAAAAATTCCTAGTGGCGATTGGTTGCAACGAAATATCAAATACGAGACTGTTCCGTTGTGAAATTTGAGCTACTATTTTTCGAAATTGATTTCAAATCGCAATATAATATGTCCTCATGAAGAGTTTATTAATATATTTCATTTGGATTTGGTTGATCAAATAAAAATTAGCTATATATTTTAGACTAGCTCATCATTCAAATGGTAGTACACGTATATATATATATATATATATAGATGTATGAGATAGAATGACTGTTCACCGAATCTATGGCATAAGAATAGATTAGTGTTAAGTGAGAATCCGAGGCCTGCTATCATTAATTATGCTGTTATAAAACTTTTTAAATGATCAAAACTAACATTTAGAAATGCATAGTCGAATCATTTTATGTAATATATGCATACTCAACTGAATCTAACGTTTTAATTTTAATAATTTCAAAATTGTTTTCTGATTAATCATTTATCTACAAGCTGTTAACTGATTTATGCGCTCTACAATCTTCCACGAAAAAGATTTTCTAATGCTACTATCGTTTTTGAAAGTGAAACTTTGCTCAAAATAATCAAGTTTGACCAAAATTGACATCAAACCAATTATCTCGATTCAGCAAAGTATACAAACTAGCTATTTGTTTGTATAAGAGCAACTGGCTCGACTCATATGAAAACTGATTTTCGTAAAATAATCTAAAAAATATCGATGAAATTGGAAACAAGTTTCGATTTTAATAAATTCTCTGCCTTGGCGTGAGAATGATCCACGTAAAAATTGAATCGATTTTCTTTCTTCGGTTTCGGATAATTAATGAATATTTATACTTTTCTTTCGATACGAATGCAGGAGTTGATGACATCAATGAATTATAAAGTAATTCAGATTTATATATATATAGACTCTTTATTCGAAGTTCGGCTATCTACATATACTTGAAAATTTATCTAATATTACCGACTCTACGTCGATATCAACTTATGCGAATTCAGCACCGAGTACAATAGACTATAAGAGTTTTCGTGTTGTTGATAATTCAGAAGACACGAATGACTGCAATATTCAATTGTCTGTGTACGTCTGTAAATAAAATTGCATTTGATCAAGTTGATAGAAATCGTTTTTTCCCCTATACTGAAAAATAATTTGCAAGATATTTTGAAAGATGTTCGTATAGGATTCGGTCGTATTTTGCGTGATGCATCATTTCTATTGAACATGTTGAGTTTATATTACATTAATCAGATCGACGATATTCCTATATCTTCACGATGTTCAACAAAATAATAGAACTCATATTGCAAAACTGACATTGAACAGCATCTGATTATTTGCCAATCTTTATCATAGAATATATAATAATAGTCGCTATTTTAAGAGTAGAATGTTACCGATGGTAAACGCAGACTATGGTTTCGCTTACGGATATCTGCAATATGCAAGAATTTATTGCTCTATTGCTCTAGGAATGCCAGTAGTATTTTGTCCTTCAATATAAATTTGGTCCGATAGAGATAATGTTAAGTGTGCAATGTTTTACACTACTTAATATCACAATTTCCCTCGATATGAAGCTTACTAACTCATTGTGTCACTGTTAGAAATGCCAACGGTTAACCTGTGCGAAATATTCATTGAAGCGGTACAGTATGGTCCATATATGCAAAACACTTCTTATAAATATACGAAGTACATTCATTTGATTAAAGATCAAAACATCGTTGTAGAACATATTTTTAATTGGAAATCGAAGTCAATTTAGTGTTGAATGTATTACTTTTGACATACTTCTGCATGCCTCAATCATATCTAGAGATGTTCAAAGAGTACTGCATGAACTTGAGTTAGATCCTAGTTCAAATGAAAATCTTTAGTTAATTAAAGAACATGATGAATTCTAGATAGATTATGTATATTACTTTACTGAATGCATGAAAATCGTTATTTATTCATTGTTCATCCAAAGGGCAACTCAAAAAATCAGTTGATCATTTTCTAAGAAATAATTTCAATGACATCGATTTGGGTCTTCTTGGATGTGAAAAAAAAACATTCCATTCGGCTCACGTTTTTATGGAAGAAAAACTGCCTGCTCCCTCAAATGATACCTTTACGCGCATTTTCTCTATCGTTTTAAATAACTCTTGAGATAAAACTGAGAATATAGTATTTTTGTTTGCTGAAGAGTTCATTTTTCTGTTTCGAAAATGAAAATAAATATTTGTTCGCATCAAATTCATATCATGTATATTTTATAGAGAATGAAGTATTTATCAGAATATTCTCAAACAACAGTGAATCTGTCTTGTAAAACTCAATATTTTCTTCAGAATGTACAAGAGGAGACAAACGGCTAGAATGTATATGATCAATGTCAAATTCAATTTATAAGAAATAATTTCCAATACTTCTTAAAACTCTTGATTTACACTCTGATGCTCTTGTCGAGTTGATGGAAATTTTCGTAATTTTAGCAATTTACTTTTTCGTAAATATGAGCGTAATTTATTTGAATGATGAAATTTTAATTATAAGTAACTGATATAAATGATGCTACAATGTATAATGAAATAGAACACAAGATTCTTCAATATTTTACCAACTTTTGTTACTTATATTGATAGAAAGCCTGTCTAGCTGATATGAATTCAATTTTAGAAATATTAATATACCGTCTGTTTCATTTAATCTATTAAGGTACAAAGCTTCTGAGAAATGAATCTAAAAATAAAATTTCTCATAATGGCAGAATTTACTTTTAATTTAGTCTCCTTTCGAAGAGTTAAACTTCAGAAATTCCAAAAATTCACTACATAGACGTGATCTATTGAGAATATAAAGTTTCAAATACTAATTTATTTTTATTTTGCAACAATTGTATCGGTCTACGCACCGTAACCTCCCACTCCACCCCCACGCATAGAAATGATTGTTAACTTGATTGCAATTGAAGAAAAGCAAAGGTTTTACATTTTAGCGCCTATAGAATTATGCCGAAAAGGTATGTTTACTTCGAATGGGTGTAAATATAGTATGTATTTAGCTGGTTTTAAATTGAAAAAGACAAATCTATTGTTACGTACATTTCATTGATTCAGAATAAAACGCTGACTAGCTCATATAACGTAATATAGTTTATGTTTAACTATAATTTTAGATATACTTTTCTTCGATCAAATGTTGAAAAACAAATGAGAGTTATTATCATAACATGAAGAAAGTATGTGCTTGATCACAGTTAACTTAGAAAAGAACCATTAAAAATAATTCACATGATCATGTCTTGTAGATTAATAAGTAGATTTCATGTTGTGATATAGTAGTTCTCTTCTAAAGGAAACTGGATTAGTATTTGTATTCGTTTCTTTCATCTTGTTTTTCTTTTTCTGCTTCTCAAGTCAACAAAATACATTATTGACCTTGACCGCTCCTGTTTCTATTACGCAATTCGTAATACGTGACACATGTTTACACTACTAACGATCTGATAGATTCAATTATTTGAAGAGAAATTGTTACATAATTTTGTCTTTATTTCCTATGAAGAATTTTCATATACTCGGTAGTATACCTCATTTTTGTGCCTGAAATCGCATATTAATGATTGTGAGCAAAGATAACATCAGTAAGGAAGCCGAAAGGTTGATCAAGGACGAAAATCTTGTGCTCAGTCAAGAATTAGTCTCTTCAATACACGACGATGCTATTAATCAAAAGATTGAAAATGTCTCGTATGTTGACATTTCTTGAAATTATTTTCATTTTAAGAATAAAATGACTAGTTTACATATGGAATGTAACTTAATAACTGCTAGGCACTGTTCATTCGGGTATAAAACGGCGTGTGTCACGTTGAATACACTAGAGGACATCCTATTTTTAAAAAATAATAATGAATATATTATGAAAAATAAAAGAGAAAAATGATAGGTAATGAGCAAAAGGATACTTTTTCTGTCATCTACATTTTACATGTTACGCGTACTTCTAATTATTGGTTTTTGTGATTTCAAATTTCTTGTGAAAACATCATCATATTAAGTGAATACAACAGTTCTAACGAAGAAGTATTGGTACTACCGACTGAAATCGTTATTCCTCGTCTTATTCGTTTTTGGATTATTCTTCCTTTTTATATTCCATCGGCCATTTGTTCTTTATTCATCTTTTTATAACTTTACTATCAGTCGAACATTACGCCACGCTCTGCATAATCATGTTATTACTCTTCTTCTCTTCATCAACACTATTGTTCAATTGACAGCTATTCCATGGATTCTTAATTATTATCGCTTGGGATACGTTTGGCCACAAAATCCTACATTTTGTCTTACCTGGGTATTTATTAATGAAGCTCGATATATAACAACAATACTACTATTTTCTTGGGAAACCATTGAGCGACACATTCTTATCTTCCATGATCAACTATTATCGACAAAATATAAATTTATTCCACTTCATTATTTTCCAATAGTCATCATTTTTTGTACTGTTTTTGCTACAATACCATTGGAATTCTAGTTCCCCCTTGTGAAAATACATTTGATTATAGTCAACTTACTTGTGCCGATCCCCTTTGTTATTATGAGATTCGCGCACTAGCCATGTGGGATATTATAGCTAATGATCTAATACCTGCAATAATAATTATTTTCTGCAGTATTGCTATTATTTTCCGTTCTCTCTGTCAAAAATATCGAATGCATCGAGCAATTCGTTGGAAAAATCATCGAAGATAACAATTCAACACGGCGGAAAAGCGCGGCTTCATCTACTTCAAAAAAATTTTTGAAGTACGATGGAAATGCAAGGGAGTGCGAAGGGAGTACGGAAGTACGGAAGTCGCGCTTTTTCCCCTTTGCAATTCAATTATTAGCGATTTTAATACTCTATCTTATTATTTACATACCAAAAATGTTAATGGAATTTGTTTATCTTTGTGGCATTCCAAAAGAAGTGGGTGAAGATTCTATATTATATGCAAAATTCTTTACATCTTATGGCAATTTTTTATTACCTTTTGTATGCGCATGGATCAGTGCCTGAACTTCAAAAGGATTTATAAAAATATTTCGATGTTGGCGACGACCGATAAGACCAGTACTCCCTCAAGTTTTGGCATTGCCACGTTATACAGGTGGTGCAAAATAAAACAAAAGCTGATGTTTCATAATCATATTTTTGGTTGGCTTATAAATAAAATCTATAGCTTATTTCCATAATTTTTTTTATCAATAACATGATTAATAAGCGTCATGTCAAACGATTTTAAAGAGTTCACTATACGTTTCATCTATTAAAATCATAATGATAGACAAGTTTGATAGTCTGCTTACTATTATAAGTCATAGAATAGAAGATTTTTGAAGTATAATATGATGCCATACATGAAGAAAGAGATGAAAAAGGAACATTCTCGTCTCTTGTCTATTACCTTGCTGATAATTAGTAAAAAGTCAGATAAAATTATATCATAGGCGAAAATTTAGCACAAAGTAAATTCGTTTATCCTATAAATACTTAGACTAAATAAAATTTCAATGTAAAATATTGACGAATATAAAACAACAAGGTTCAAAACGTTTCTATTATAAAAAAATCATATTATTTTTTAAATTCTTTATTCATGAATCTTCATCAAAAATATCAGTCGGAAACATAGGTCGCATAATTTTCATTTACAATAGAAATAAAATTGAAAAAAGGTGGACTATGGGCTGATAGTTTTGGTTTTAGTGTATCTATGTGCTCTCATTGGACTTTTCTGACTTTAAAGTGCTGTATTATATTTCAACATCATCCCATTTCATTAAGATCTTATATTGATATATATATATTTCACACGGAAGAATAATCTCACATGAAATGTTATAACAGTGCAGTGTTTGCTTGCACTAAAAGCATCACGATATCAATTATTCTATTACGCTTCAATGAATCGAAAAAATGAGGGATCCTGTACAAAAAGTTTTACACTCACATTGAAATCTAGATCCAAAGAATATATTAAGTAATTTTATTTATTGACAAACAAATACAATCAGTAAGATAGAAAGAGTAATACTTATAAGCAAATGAATAAGAAATAAAAGTAATTTTATTTGATTATGATATTGATTAACCACAGTCGTATGTGTACCTGCTTCAATATCTGGCCGTATATTTGTATTCATAGTCTCCTGATTTCTGTCACATTGCTGTATGTTGTTTGCCATTGATGCTGCAGATACTCGTCTTTTGTGTTCAATCTTTTCACAAATCATGACTACTATGACAATCCAGGCAGCCCAAATTGAAACAATAGCGATGAGACGTAATACAAGAAATATCGTTGGAATTGATAAAATAAATGCTAATAAACCAACAATACGATGACTCCAATCAAAAATATAACGAAAGCGGCTATTAGGATTGCAACGATATAATGTTAACCATATTTGTATCATAGCACAACATACAATTGTACCACCCATTATTGAATGAGCAAACAAACGTAAACCTAAGAGCTGAGGATTAACCCATTTGCCACCAGCCCAGACTAGAATAAATAAGAAGCCGACCAGAATTAATAATGAAGATATTGAAAGAAAAAATCGATGTATTTGAAACCAGACAGCTTTGCCCAGTAATTGTTTGTAAGCTCCGAAACGTAGTGAACGCCCATAACGTGCCATAAAAATACCCGTAGAACCGAAGGTCATCATAGATAGAATCATAGCCATAGCATGAGCTTGTACTAAAGTAACAGCCATCCAGATGAATTAGATACTATTGTTAATCTATAAAATGTAAAATGATGCTGGTGAGCACGATAACATAAAATGTCACTTCTTTTCATGCGATGAATGATAAAATCAAGAACTGTTTTGTAGTTTTTTCAATATCTGAATAATGGACCTGGCTAAAACTTATGATATTTCATACAAGGAAACATCGCGCTTTTCTTTTTTTATTCGCTCAAAAACGAACTAATAGCATTTCAATAAGAAGGAAAAAAATAATCTTACTCGTTTCTTTTCTCAAGTAACTATTCGTTTTTACACTATAATGATACATTGAATTGTGCATAAGTGTTAGTATTGAAAACTAAAACTAGCGTTTCAGCAGTAACCCTAACACGAACTGATATGCTGTGGTATTACTTGACATAATAATTATTTTATTCAAAAATCTTACAAGTAGATTATAATGAAGAATTTTAATTCTAGTGAGTATGCCACTTGTAGTTAAACTTCGTGAACTTCAAACTCAATAGCTTCTACTAATATAGCGTTTTTTCTATGATTGAATCTTGTACTGATAAAACAGAATAATACTATTTTTATCGTAAGTTTTCAGTTTGAACCTGTCACAGTCTTTTAGAAATTTGCACATGTGTTAGAACTACAAGGAATATCAGTCTATTATTAATCTCTTTCGACTAGATGATTTCTAATGATGAATAGTAATAAACAATTGGAATTTTAATACCTGTACCGTAGACTTAAGTTCAATTTTAATGAATACTAATACAACTATTAATCCGAAATTCTCATGTCAAAAATTGTTGTGAGAATATATAAAAAAAAAGAAGTTCAAAAAATGAATATCAAATTCAACACGTCGTACTTATTACATTCTGAAGAATTAACAAGAACTAGATTCATTCTTCGTTTTGAAGAATAACGGTTATAATAAGAAATACTCGTAAGTAGATGTATACGGTATATACTAACTGAAGGGCGCATATGCTCAGTGAATTATAATTAATGACCAGCGTTTCGTGGAAATTTTCTCTTCTGAAGTGATGATTGTAAATTCTAGCAAACTCAACTCAATTCATAAGAAAATGATACTCTCTTGCCGACTACGCTTAATAAAATACTAGTTATGACACACATGGAGCAAATAGTACTTTTCTTTCTTACGATGGAAAAAAGTATATCGCGAAGAGGGTGAAGTTTGTTTTTATATGAATAGACACGGTATATTTCGTTCTTCGGAGAAAGTATTATCATTTATGCTGAACATAGTAGGTCAGTATTTTTGAATGAATAGTGATAGTGAAAAGATAAAGAATTCGTTTTTTGGAATAAAAAGCGTGACATATCAGAATGACTGAAGCGAATTTTCACTCATCGGGCACACATTGAAACAGTCAATATAATATCCAAGCTGTTAAAGATAGATGTCCTAGATCGCAAGTTTTTACTTTCAGGCCATTAAGATATTACCGTGAAAAATATCTTGTTTGTTCTATTTTTATTTCGTATTCTATGTGAGATCTTTTATTCAATATTTGTATAAGAAAATTGGCTAGAAAAACGACAGAAAACCTATAATATATATTTTGATGCGGCTTCGTAGCTTGCTTCCAATGGTGAAAATGAGTGTTTTCGCTGTCTTCACGAGTGACTCTACTGGTAGAATCAGAACTAATTTTTTTGATACTTTTAACTAAATTATTAGCACAGCATGCTATTAACAGCATGGGATTTTAGTAAATAATAGATTATTAATGGTTCTCTTATTCATTAAAGACGACAGACAGTACATATTACGCGTGTATGAACAGAATAGTGAACAATCTTGTTATATTGATTGGAGAGACAACCAATTAATTTATCATTCAGATAAACTGAACACATTGATCTACCTAACAATTACGAAGTACACATGATAAGCTTATTTAGGTATGTTAGCTAGAAATAAATCATCGAAACTTTAAAATGATAGTGCAAAATTTAATTATTTATTTTAGTTTAGATTCAAACTTAACCTTTGTAACTAAAATTTCAATTGAAAATACAAATTGACCTCAATTAGTTGATCGTTCCTAAGTTATGATCAAAAGCCGTTAAAGGTTTCATTCTTAAAGGTTTCATTCTCAAAAAAGATACCTATTTCTGTTTCCTCGTGTAAGATTCATATCATTGATCGCTATTTAAAGCCACACATAGTTATTTAAACGCTTATATAGCTATCTAAAGCTGCAAGTCATTCATTCCCTCACTCGCATCGGCAGTGGTTAGACGCATTCTTATAGAATATTTTACTCTTCTATTCTCTACTCTTTTAAATATATACTCTACATTAAAGCGTTTTACACTATTATAAGCCCAAGACTTCGGAGATTGGTGGTCAATGACCTCCTCAAGTGAAATCATCCATAAAGTCATGGAGACACAGTAACCAGTCTACGTGTTGGATGAAAACTCTGAGAAAGAACAGTAAATAGTGTATTACATAGTTCCTGTTAACATGCAACCAGGCTTGCCAAACCTCCTGATTTGACCAGGAGACTCCTGATTTATGGATTTCTCTCCTGATAGAAAATCTCCTGATTTCAGGAGCTGATTTTCAAGATTTTCTCCTGATTTCTCCTGATTTTTAGTTTTCTTTCTATTTGATTTTTAGCGATACTTTGGACCAATAAGAGAATTAAAGGGAGCAAAGAGAACTATTGCAGTATTTAATAGTTATAGAAACGAATGAGAAAATAATGGCTTTTATTTCAATCTTCTTTTAAAAAAATCATCAATTACATGACCTAATTGCATGCAAAGTACTTGTTTTGTTTTATATAGGAGAAAATTATATGTTATTATTTAGAAAACAAGATCTTAAAAATCAGACAGGAGACTGATAGACAAAATTTTTAAATGGCCAGAGAAGATGTCTCTCATCTAGACAGAATTTCGCATTTCTTGGAAATCAGATCGGACCCTTTTTAACTCAGAATAGGACAATATCTTGAATAACCTAGAAGATTTCTGTGTTTCATTTTCATTATTACGCTAAAATTGCTATGGGCTCACTTGCACTGCTATTTTGTTGTCAAAGTTTAATAGGAATTACAAACATGAAAAGAATGAATGGATCTATAATACAACAAAAAAAAGTGAAGGCATCAATAAAAAAGAAGTCTGAAAAGAATCCAGATAAGAATATTAACTGGTTCAGTGTACATAATAGATATAACTAAAAAAATGTTTTCATGCCTCTTCTATGTGTATAGCAAAGAGCATTACTTGTATTAGAACACAAATGAAAATAATATCATTTGTATTAAAATATTGATGATCAACTCGGTATAAAACAGATAAAAGTGCTTATGTGAGCGAAAATTCGAATTTTCTACGAGAAAATCACCTAATGTTCTCTTAACTTCAAATAGAAAACCTCCTGGTTTTTCTCCTGATTTCTAAAAGAAATTCTCCTGCTAAATTCCTGTTTTTCGATGAAAAACTCTTGATTTCTGAAATTTCAATTTGGCAAGCCTGATGTTATCATACGTATTCGAATATTGGGGGAAAGAATGGAACAAAAACTCTTACGATACAACATATGAGCGTTTCAGGTCCTTTCTTACATCATTCAAAGCTAGATGCCAACTGCATTTTAAAATTGAACATACTAGGCATTCCATACCACAGGATCTAATGAAATTATTAGCGCAAAGCCACTTGCTATCGTTCAAAGCAAAACGAAAAAGAGATATCGAACTACGGAAAGAAGCTCGTCGTCTCCGGAACTTAGCACGCTTCGAGTTAAAACGATTTCAAAAGGAACAACTAACTAAACAATTAGAAGAAGGACATTTTCCTGGCGACACCTCAAGACTTATTTGAAGCAAATCAAAAAGACACTTTCGAAATGTCTCTTTATCATTAAAAGGATTTTTGTCCCCCAATGGTACAATTACAAAAGATTCACAAACAATGGCAGACACTGCTGAAAATTATTATGAAAAATTATTGAAAATACCTATAGTGATTCGTCCGCACCCTTATGTCGATGCTCCTCTTATACAATGGGAGAATGAAGCTGACCTAATTCCAACTGTCACGTATCCAGAAGTTCTAAATATACTACGTTCAAGAAAGAAAAAGTAATCGCTAGAGATTCACGGGCTCTCTTCATTTATTCTCGATAAAATATCTAAAAATTACTGACATCTTCTGATTCAAGTATATAATTATTCTTTCAATGAAGGTTACACTTTTAGCACATTTAAAGAAGTAAAAATGATACTCTTGGCGAAGAAAAAGGCGATATGTATACCGGACCAAACTAGACCAATATCACTGCTGGATTCCTTTTTGAAAGTGCAAGAAAACTTATTTCATTGTCGTTTTTTAAGATTTTTAAATGATCGTGGTATCCTACAGGTTAATCAATCGGGATTTCGATTACAAATACGCGTACTACTTCTCATCGAACAAATATCATCGTATATGTCAAACAGCTCACCGATCGCGACTATCTTCGTCGATTTTAAGCCAGCCTTTGACCGGTTGTGGTTTGATGGATGTGTGGGTAAACTAATTAGAATGCGGATCCAGAATGCCTATATCAATTGGATTCGAGCGTGACTTAACGACCGTAAAGAAGTTATCGAGATACAAGGTAAAAGATCGAGATGGATTAAAATTAATCGTGGTTACCCTCAAAGCTCGAGTTTTTCTCCGACGTTATTCATCACTTACCATAGTGATATGGCTGCTTTTTTTTACCCGGTGCAATGTCCTTCTTTTTTGCTGATGATCTTGCTGCTGTACTTGCCGGTCAAATCGGAACCAGATTTACGGATCAATATATTGATCTGGAACGCCGTGTACAAAAATTTCTGGATGAACTCGAATTCTACTCAATTCTACCTGTGCAGCCGATCAATTACAACAAAACGCAAGCCATGTTCTCCACCAGAGAAGTTTGTTATCCGAATCCGTTAGCTCAAGTTCACTGCGACGATCACAGATTGGTATGGATC